ACGGCTGGCATGCGATCCGTCAGGAAGGCGGTCGGGGGCTTCTCAAGAGGATTTTTTCTGGCTCGGCCATACTGATCCGAGGCTGGAGAACAACCTTTGCATGAAGGCGGACTGATGAGGGCTCAAATTCAATCATCTGATGAGAGTACGATCGTTTTTGGCATTACTTACGGTCGCATACATAATCCCAGCTTGCGATCTGTATCTTGGGTGGGACCTCAGATTGAATAGATTTCGACGTCTACAAAGCATCAAAGTCAGAAATTTTGTTGGCTCATGCGTCGCGCCCAACAAAAGCACGCTTATTGAAATCAATCACTGGTCGGATCAATTCCTTGCCCTTCAACATGTTTGCATCAGTGAGTCCGGAACCCGGAAAGTGCTTCACATGTTTGATTCCTTGGATCCAGTATGCAGCATTGCTGCTACCATGAAGATTGGCAAAGCAGCAGCGGACTTTTTTTCGCAATTCAAAAAAGCTTACGTGGCTTGGGATTCGGACATTTCATCTTTTTGCCCATCTTGTACACCATTTCTTGATGTTGTGATAGAATTTCACGAGAATATCACCTTCGACGTATTCGTTAGGTCAATGGTGCAGACATCATATTCCCTGGTGAACGGTACATCGTTTCTAGCTGAACCCCACCATCCTGACAACAACTTTCACCTTCTGAACGATTTAGTCTTTCCTTTGTTGGATGATGCTATCAAAAGTGATTCAATGCATTTATCTCACAGAACACTCTTTCTTTTGCACGGGTCACGTAAGCGGTATATGAAACGAGCTTTGTGGTATGAAGTTTTACATCATTGGTTCACTATCGTATATCCGTTTGAACTTTCTCTGCGGCAAACAGGTGTCATATGCCTGGATAGATTGATATGGGCACAAAGCCGTTTCAATCAACCCTTTTACACGCTGGTTGGAGGGAGGTTCGGTAGATTGAATCGATGGAGAGGAATTGTTTCAAATATCCGAAGAAAGATCCTCATTTCTTGGGGGATTCGTTGGTTGCAGGAATCGAATCAAGTGCACATGTTAAAGAACCCCAATTTGACTTGGGTAACACGACCTTGTGAAAAACACCGACCGAGATGTATGATCAATGAAGGTGATCTGATGTCTACGCTTGGCAATCATTTTTTTGTCACTGAATTGTCTTTTAAATCTCAAAGTGATCGATCGAAACAGTTGTATAGATTGTTAGAGCAGCTGTCCTCGACACAGATTCTTGCGGGTGTACATGGGGCTGGATTGACCAATGCTGTTTTCCTGGAGAGGGGAAGTATCTTATTAGAGGTCAAGGAAGTTTCAGAACGACACAAAAAATTATTTTTGAACGTTGCAAATCATGGAGATTTATCATATTACATATTTGATGCTGCTGTTTTTCACCTCAAAGGAGCAGGAATTTGGCTCGACAGAGCACGCATGCAGAGATTAGGGATGGACTTGCACTCAATCTGGAAAACACATGTTCATTCCAGTCCTGGCAAGGTTGATTGCTTGTTTCCACAGTATCTGAATCGCGATTCGAGACTCAGTCTGAGTAACGAAAGTAGCTGTTATTTAGAATTAATACAGGGCAATTGGATACAATGCGCACATTACAGCCCTGATTGTCCCTAGCTTGGGCAAGAGGACAAGTCTTCCAGACGGATCGCAGCATCACACTGCTCATCCCGGTTTTGTTGCAGCTTGGAAGGCACTCTACTGCTAAAAATAAACTAAAAATAAAATTCCTCAATAATGTATGGCATTGGGTTGAGAGCGTTTTGTAGGCAGTGTGTGGAGGATGAAATTCGTGTGAATGATTCTGTACTTTTGTATTCTTTTAATAGAATTTCAGGGGTTTTGATAAGAAAAGCCCTCCAGAAATGGAATCTTCCATCGAGATTTGAATCCTCTGTTACATGCTCGTAATTCTATGCTGAACTGCGCCCGAATTCAATCAAGATACGGCCTAAGAAGTTTGACGTGCATTTAACCACCTTCAATCGCCCATCGATATAAAAACGAGGTCCTCAGGCTTGGGCTTTGTAAGTAAACTTGCTCGCAAAGACAAATCAACACACGATTCTGTCCTTAGAATCCCTCCCCTCCGTCGTCCTGACCCCCACCACCCCATCACCTCTCCAGTATCATTGAATACCTCTCCGCGACCCCTCGGCTCAATCGCCAACCTGGCATTTTGTCAGGAGGCTCATAACCTGTTTCCACGGAATTGATCGGAAATTCTCTCCAAAAAGTCCTGATTATGCCTCTTTGCTTTGGATCGGCCTGATTGACATCCTTTGGGCATATTCCGGGCCTCTCCGGCGAGCTCCAGGCCCGTGCGGGCCGTCCGGGCCCGTGGAAATAGGTTATGAGCCTCCCGACAAAATGCCAGTGTGGCGCTTGAGCCGAGGGGTCGCGGGGAGGTATAAAATGATATGGGAGAGAAGCCGGGAAGAAAAAACTTGCAACGTACTAGTTATACGTATAGGATTTTTTTCGAGGTCGAAACTCAACTGGAAATTGAGTTGAAAATCCAGGGTTTTTCTACCTATACACCAGTTCATGTACTAATTGATCGGAAATCTCTCCAAAAAGTCCTGATTATGTCTCTTTGATTTGGATCGGCCTGATTGACATCCTTTGGGCATAATCCGGGCCTCTCCGGCGAGCTCCAGGCCCATTCCGGGCCGTCCGGGCCCGTGGAAACAGGTTATGAGCCTCCCGATAAAATGCTATATATACTGAGGCGGGCCCGCAGGGCCCGCCTTACAAAAAACTCGTGACGTCGGGAGCCCCACTGCAAACATACCCCCAGATCCCCTCCCACCTTCCATCTAAGGTCATGGAGAGGCTCATTGGCCTCCATCTAGACTGATCTGATACCTCGCCTTGTGTCATCCGACTCATATATATACTGAGGCGGGCCCGCAGGGCCCGCCTTACAAAAAACTCGTGACGTCGGGAGCCCCACTGCAAACATACCCCCAGATCCCCTCCCACCTTCCATCTGAGGTCATGGAGAGGCTCATTGGCCTCCATCTAGACTGATCTGATACCTCCTTGTGTCATCCGACTCATATATATACTGAGGCGGGCCCGCACGCCTTAGAAAAAACTCGTGACGTCAGGAGCCCCACTGCAAACATACCCCCAGATCCCCTCCCACCTTCCATCTGAGGTCATGGAGAGGCTCATTGGCCTCAATCCAGTGGGAGAAATGTCCTATGGGTTTTTGGATCTGCGATATAAAAAAGTCTTGTCTCGGTCACGTGATGTGTCACGTGACCGGTCAGGTGAGCCTGTCAGCCGGGTCACGGCCCCTGTCAGCCGGCTGACATGTCACGGGCCTGCTGACACGGTCCGCTGACCGGTCACGGCCGCCCGGAGAGATCAGGCCCCCGGCCAATCTCCGGACTGACTTAGCCTCCTGGCGGGCCTCCAGGGGGTCTGAGGCGGGGCTGAAGGCTGCAGTCGGTCTACTGACGGGCCCGGCCGGCAGGATCGGTCGAGAAACAGGGGGGTCAAGGGAGGTTTTCTTCCCCCTGGGAGAAATGTCCTATGGGTTTTTTGGCGGGCCTCCAGGGGGTCTGAGGCGGGGCTGAAGGCTGCAGTCGGTCTACTGACGGGCCCGGCCGGCAGGATCCGACCTTGTCAGCCTGCTGACATGGGAGGTTTTCTTCCCCCTGGGAGAAATGTCCTATGGGTTTTTGGATCTGCGATATAAAAAAGTCTTGTCTCGGTCACGTGATGTGTCACGTGGCCGGTCAGGTGAGCCTGTCAGCCGGGTCACGGCCCCTGTCAGCCGGCTGACATGTCACGGGCCTGCTGACACGGTCCGCTGACCGGTCACGGCCGCCCGGAGAGATCAGGCCCCCGGCCAATCTCCGGACACTTAGCCTCCTGGCGGGCCTCCAGGGGGTCTGAGGCGGGGCTGAAGGCTGCAGTCGGTCTACTGACGGGCCCGGCCGGCAGGATCCGTCGAGAAACAGGGGGGTCAAGGGAGGTTTTCTTCCCCCTGGGAGAAATGTCCTATGGGTTTTTGGATCTGCGATATAAAAAAGTCTTGTCTCGGTCACGTGATGCGTCACGTGACGTCAGTGAGCTGTCAGCGGGTCACGGCCCCTGTCAGCCGGCTGACATGTCACGGGCCTGCTGACACGGTCCGCTGACCGGTCACGGCCGCCCGGAGAGATCAGGCCCCCGGCCAATCTCGGGAGTCCGGACACTTAGCCTCCTGGCGGGCCTCCAGGGGGTCTGAGGCGGGGCTGAAGGCTGCAGTCGGTCTACTGACGGGCCCGGCCGGCAGGATCCGTCGAGAAACAGGGGGGTCAAGGGAGGTTTTCTTCCCCCTGGGAGACCGGTAGTATGGGTTTTTGGATCTGCGATATAAAAAAGTCTTGTCTCGGTCACGTGATGTGTCACGTGACCGGTCAGGTGAGCCTGTCAGCCGGGTCACGGCCCCTGTCAGCCGGCTGACATGTCACGGGCCTGCTGACACGGTCCGCTGACCGGTCACGGCCGCCCGGAGAGATCAGGCCCCCGGCCAATCTCCGGAAATTATAAATCGATTTATAAAACAGATAAAAATTATGATTTATTCGCAAAAGTTGTCTCCTCACGTTTCATTACAATTAAGTGCATGCGTCGATTACTTGGCATTGTCTGAGGTGAAGCTTCCTCCTATCAGGTGCTTCAACACCCTCCTTTGGCTCTTGTGTGCCGATGCCAGCATTGTTACTTTGCCGCGCCTCCATTGACGGTGTCAGGCTTGTCAAATTTGACTATGCCTTTCAAATGACCTGCTGCGGTTACAAGCAAAGAAGTGTGGCTCAAGTGCACAGATGCTTAGAGCCTCGGAATGCATCCCTGGAGAGGACAGCAACAGCTACAATAAGGACGACGTAGGAGAATCATGAAGAAGACAGCAAGAACTTAGGACTCGTGGATGGCAGCAGGAGATAAGCGAGTCAGCTTATATCAGTCCACGACAGGACAGCAGATGACACGGTGGCAGGATATGGCTACGCTCAAAGGGAGATTGGAAGTATCACCCCTGAAGTCATGGACATCGGAGAACAAGGGGTCTGATCAAAGAAGACCGTGGCAGTACTATCATGATCATCTTAGCGGAGGACTTACAAGGGCAACGCACGAGACCACCTCCAAGCTTGACTCTAGCGGAGACACAGGACCTGTCAAGGTCAAGGGAGCAGCTACATCAACTTCACAGAGAGCGTTGGATGGGAATCGAAGACCTCGTCATGTCAAGCCTATGACTCTTTCTCAGGGAACCCTCAAGGTACGGAACCAGGCCTCGGACCGGTCGAAGAATCATATTGCAGTCGGTGCTATCACTGTCTACTTCGGGTGTCATTGCCACTGTGTCACCGTCTGTGGAGAGAAGGTTACTGGGAACTTCAACAACCCCTCCTTTCTGTAGCCAAGAGACGCTACCCCTGGCTCCTTCCTGGAAGCTATAAACCTTTCGTGTGTGTGCCACGATTGTTTGAGACGTCTTTGTGTGCGTCATCTTGTCTTGTGTGTGTGTGTGTGTGAAAGAAATAAAAGAGAGTTAGATCTCCTTCTGTTTCACCGCTTTCCCTCTTAGTAGAAAAATCCAACGTTAGTTCTTGTTGAACTGCGCTTGAAGGTCCTCTCGAAAATCTTCGAGGTGTGACACACGCATGAATACCACATGGCGAAGCGTAACAAAAGATGGTGACATGGAGAACGATGAAGGTAAATGTACCAGTATAAACACGATCATTGCCAATTACATCGGTATCTTGGAGAAAATTAAAGAAAGGAACCAGGCAACATTCAAGGTTCTCAATAAAGCGATCGAGTTCATTATGGAGCTTGAAAATCGTCTTTATAGAAGACTAAACATCAAGGCGGCCAAGGAAGAGCCTAAAGTACTCACAGAAGCTCACGATAGATTGAAGCACAACAAGGTCAGGGCTTGTCTGACAACGGTGATACAGAATGAGCTTGAAAGCACAGACAACATCTTGCTTATCCCACTCGCTGAAATTTTCGACGGATTTGATGAGCGAAACCAGCTCGGAACCATCGTGAGTATCGTGGACGATGACGAGAGAACGGACAGACAAGAGCGCCGCTATAACCCAGACAACAACCCTATCACCAGCCGGTACACGTATATCCTTTCGAGAATCAAGAAGAAGTTTGTCCAACTTCGACGTGCGGCACGCAGTGTTATCGACAACATGTATCAGGTGAAGCATTATGGCATTGACGGCATAGTGATCAGGTCTTACCAAAGCTACCAGAAAAGCATCAAGCCGCACACCCCTCTGGCACCGGACGACATCCTTGCCACGAATGAGTACGGACCCGCCACAGTATTGGTACAGCTTTGGAATTTCTACGATATGAAAGGCAACAACGCGGTAAAGGAATGGCTGTCCAAGTACATCACCGCAAGCATCCGTCATCACCCACGGGTTAAAGAACCTTTTTGTCCCCATTGAGAAATACGAGTGGGATACAGGCGGTTTCCACAACTACCTGCTACGGTACAGTCCACGGTCGTTCTGTACACCAAAGAGCTTGTCATGCACACGTCACAGGCGCTGAGGCAGAAGGCCGTTCCAGATCAAGTGAACAAGACGCTGCTTTGTGTCTACATCTATTTGAAACATACAAAAGATCTACGTGCTGTACCACGACAAGATGTACATGAGCCCGCAGCAAGAGTTTTACCTGTCGTTCATACTGAAGAACTTCCTACCCATATCCGGGTTCAGCCGTGTTGCGATACAGCAAATGCAATGAACATAATGAGGATCTTCGAGCACATGATTTGGTCGACGGTGAATGACAGGGAATTGGACCGTAACACCCGCCGGCTCGAGAAGTTGTTCCACTATCACGCGACGATCATGAGGCAAAGATTCTATGAGTACAGCGAGTACACCATCAACAACATACCAAGCATCGTCCAACGTGACACTCTAACACAGGATAATGCCGATATTTGGAGCTGTGATGAACATGCACCCCCAACGTGCGAAAGAGCGCATCCCAGAACTGGGATTTGGACTCTTATTAGTTGAACACCACGGAAGGTCAGTTGGAATGCAGATTCGTTGGCGACCCACGTGACTAGCCATCTTGCGAGCCGTGGAGACAGTTCTGGTTGGGTGCTGAGCCTCACCAAACTGTGGTGATCGGTTCTTACTTGGAAGCGCCTGCCTTAGAGGTAGTAGGCGAAATGTTTCAAACTCTCCTTGAGCGCCAATAGCTCGCGTTCATATGTAGAGTAGTTGCACTCTGCGGCAATTAGTTTCCCATAGAATGCAATCGGGTATTCAGTGCCGTCTTCATCGCGTTGATGCAAGGCCGCCCCCATTGCAAGGTCGGAAGCTGTCGTAGCGCTGCTTTAGCGACTGCAAGGCTTGTGAGGTTGTGTGTACAACAGTGCTGCGTGCCAAGGTCAGGAGAGACGTGCCGGTGACGCCATGTGTAAGAACATAGAACTCCCAATTGTACGGTATCAGTATTTCTAGGACAGATAGTCTAATACGACGCTCTCTCTTCATTTATCGTAGTAAATGTTTTGGATAGCACAAAATTACCAAGTTTTGCTCCATCGTGCGTGAAATTACGGTGCTGTGCAAGTGACAGGAAGCGAGCTTCAAGTCCTATCGAACAGCAGTAACCTGCCCCTCTGGTTAAGTTTTAGAAAGACCATACCTAAATGGTATAATGGGGTAAGTAACACAACGAATGTGATATGAATGCCTTGGACTTGTGAACCTGACGAAATACAAGCATGTAAGAATATCTTCAGAGAACATCAAGCACAAAAATTTCATCAGCTTTCTATCAACATGAGCTCTTGTGTCTTCGAAAAACCATGGATGTACGTGTAAACCAATCATAATTGTCAGAGGCCTTGCGGAACATTCGTTCACTCCGAAAATCTCTGAAATACTTCAGATCTCTAAAAATTGCCTCAATGTAGTCGTTGCCATGATTATTGATGTGATTATGACCACCCTGTCCAAGAATTGCCCAACTCAAAACAATTCCCTTGCAATTGTGCCGATGCAGATTTCGTATTACAACACCCTCAAAACGACTTGGGACGTGTTCCCCTACCTCTAACGACACTACCCATTCCTTAATGGGAAGATTGAATGGGATCGTCAAATCTAGAAATCGGACAAAGCCATTGGTGTACTCCTGTACATTGCCAGCACCGTCAAATGCCTGATAGTCAAGTTTGGGAAAGAATTTCAAAAGCTCACATCCATATTGTCCAACACCAGCTCCAAAATCGTACAGTGACGTGATATTCTCAGTTAGAATCAAACGTTTCAAAGCTAGAAGCACTTGCTGTGATGCTTTTACATGGCGGGTAGGGCCAGGGATAACGTATCCTTCAGGAGTGACAATACTCCATAGCTTTCCAGGTTGTAAACACCATCCGCCTGTGCCTGACACACTGTCATTGAGTCCAAGGCAAAGCTTACGAGATGCTGAATGACGATCATTCAACATCTTTTCTAGGAACGAATAAAGCTGTGGAGAAACTTCAAATCGAGCACTGTCTTCAATGTCGGAAATATTGTAATGCCTTGGACAATCGACCCTAGTTTGAGGGCATCCACATTTTGTTGGACAACCCAATCCATACTCGGCAGGTCCAATCAATTTCTCGTTTATTTCCTTCAAATGCTTCAAGGAGTCAATCGTCGTACTGTAAAATTCACTCTTGTACACCAGAAAACGACTTCCATGCTTTGGCAATTTTGAGAACGCAAGAATCAGACAGAATGATACAATGAAAAAAACTGGAACAGAGTGATTACGTGCAAACCTAGAAGTAATATTGCCCGGGACCATGGCACCAGTAGAGGTTTTATGGATGTAGGCTTGAATTGCGAAGTTTAGAGGGTCCTGTTGTTCGGGCACTAGGGGTTTTCAGGAAAATCCAAGCAAGTAGCATCCAGCCAGTAAGTTTGAATTTTCCGATTTCAAATTAGGCGAGATTTGAGAGGACGCATGAAAGTCAACCTAAATGCATAGGAAGCACCTGTTACGGAATCCCCCTAAAATTTGTACCACGAAATGTTTTTTTTGGAACTGTCGATATATTCATTTTCCAGTAACTTGGGCGGGCCGAAGCCCGTCGCCAGATTTGAGCCGGCAATGGCAATGATGCCTGAAGGTGCCTGATCTCTCCGGGCGGCCGTGACCGGTCAGCGGACCGTGTCAGCAGGCCCGTGACATGTCAGCCGGCTGACAGGGGCCGTGACCCGGCTGACAGGCTCACCTGACCGGTCACGTGACACATCACGTGACCGAGACAAGACTTTTTTATATCGCAGATCCAAAAACCCATAGGACATTTCTCCCAGGGGGAAGAAAACCTCCCTTGACCCCCCTGTTTCTCGACGGATCCTGCCGGCCGGGCCGGTCAGTAGACCGACTGCAGCCTTCAGCCCCGCCTCAGACCCCCTGGAGGCCCGCCAGGAGGCTAAGTGTCCGGAGATTGGCCGGGGGCCTGATCTCTCCGGGCGGCCGTGACCGGTCAGCGGCTCGGACCGTGTCAGCAGGCCCGTGACATGTCAGCCGGCTGACAGGGGCCGTGACCCGGCTGACAGGCTCACCTGACCGGTCACGTGACACATCACGTGACCGAGACAAGACGGAAGTTTTTTATATCGCAGATCCAAAAACCCATAGGACATTTCTCCCAGGGGAAGAAAACCTCCCTTGACCCCCCTGTTTCTCGACGGATCCTGCCGGCCGGGCCGGTCAGTAGACCGACTGCAGCCTTCAGCCCCGCCTCAGACCCCCTGGAGGCCCGCCAGGAGGCTAAGTGTCCGGAGATTGGCCGGGGGCCTGATCTCTCCGGGCGGCCGTGACCGGTCAGCGGACCGTGTCAGCAGGCCCGTGACATGTCAGCCGGCTGACAGGGGCCGTGACCCGGCTGACAGGCTCACCTGACCGGTCACGTGACACATCACGTGACCGAGACAAGACTTTTTTATATCGCAGATCCAAAAACCCACAGGACATTTCTCCCAGGGGGAAGAAAACCTCCCTTGACCCCCCTGTTTCTCGACGGATCCTGCCGGCCGGGCCGGTCAGTAGACCGACTGCAGCCTTCAGCCCCGCCTCGGACCCCCTGGAGGCCCGCCAGGAGGCTAAGTGTCCCATTACGTCATGATCTTGAAATTTGGTCCATTTCTTCCTGAACGGGGTTGTTCGCAAACACATCAAATTGTGGGGTGGGGTGGTCTACTACAGGTTTTAAAGTTGCTTTCTGGTACTGTTTACAAGTATGTAAAATTTCAAATCCAGTTTCAAATTGACTTCGAGTACTCCCCGGCTTCCCCTACACGCCCGACATGTCGCCATCTACACGCCGGCACGCAGTACCGAAGCGCCCTCCATGATGCATGGCGTCGGCGCATGCAAGAGCTGAAGCAACAGGCATTTGTGTTCTTCGTTCAAAGCAAACAAGTATCAAGTCTGACATGAAGAAATGGAGGTCTGAAGCAGGTGGTGAAGGAGTATGATTGCGTAGAGGTACGTCACACCTCGATTATCGCTTCTCATGGGATTGAAGGCTGAGAATGCTGGTTTGGCATGAATGAAAAACTTGAGATTGATGCAATTTTGGAGATGTTTGGAACAGGCAGCGTCTTCTTCTGAGTTAGAATGAAGCTGAACGATAGTTGTCAAGCCGCTTTAGTGCAAGCACCTCGAGATTTTCAAGATCTGCACTTCATGATTTGAATCATCTGTGGCGCCATGCAAGATGCCAGTCCGAATTCAAACGTCTTGAAGTTTTCATCATGATTTGCATCGCTACCTCATTATATTTTGACATTAGATAATGATGCTTCGCATGTGTAAAATGTTGGGATTACACTACAACCTTTCAGATGCATGTTCTTGTTCTAGACAAAGTAACATCAATAGAATATACATACATGTCGTACAATTGTCACAATTATGACTATGTACAAGTTAGACTCGTGTCTGGCTGTAGATTTATTCCAAACCGCAAGTTACACTCTCCGTCCTCTTTGGCTTTGAACTTCTTTCACCGACAGATTTATCATCTTAGCTGTGATGGGCTTGTTGCAATGGCTCTGCTTCCACTGCTCAGAGAAGTGCACTGATGCACAACGCCCGGCATTCAAGTCCAGCCTTCAACTATCAATACTTGAAAGCACGAGAGAAAACTCCTCGGCAATGGAATCGCATGAGAGAAGACTCTGAGAGAAGGAATGGCTAGTACAGCTCATGAGAGTTGTTTTCAAAAATCAACTGCAGTGCGACAGACAATTCTGGCGATCTCAATCATGATTCAGCTTTCAAGTGGCTGATGCGTTCGCTGGCAGAGAGCTAACCTTGTCTGGAGGCAGCTGATGTCTCATGCTTTCTTCATCTTTGTTTGCCTATTCGATTAGTTGCTTGTAAAGCTATATGTATGACCATCATGTGCACGATGCCAGGCTCAGTGCCCGGCATGGTGGAGTTGTGAATGAAACTGTTGCACGCTATCACATGCATAGTACCATGCTAGAGTATGTGACGTGCAAGTTCCTCATTGCATGAAATGAATGTCACCAACAGAGAGAGAGTCACATACATCTGCATACAATGTGCAAGCATCATTGGTGACGCCACTTTCTTTTGGCGTTCACCTGATTCAAATCCATCGCAAACATAGAAAAGCAACAGCAAGTATCTTCAAATCTGCTTCACTTTCATCTCACGTAGCATTCTGGTACCAGGATGCTAGGGTGGCAACGCAACAAGGAGGATCGCATTTCCATCAAGTATTCGAAGGTTGCATCTCTCATCGCACCCTGATCCATTTTCCTCATGTTTTCCTTCTCAAAGTGTGAAAATCGCTTATATAACTAAGATACATCATCATCGAGGCGTCTCAGTGCAAACACAAGAAGGCAAGTGACATGCTTGTTGGGATAATGTAACCATGCAAATTTGAATCCTTGCCGCTCAAAACAGTATTTGATGCATATTTACACCATCACAAGATCAAGAAAGCAAACATCATCATTAACATACAGTTAAAACTATTCTCACCATGCTTCAAAGCTTCTTTGTATTCACAAGCAACTCAACGAACTCAGATTCAAATCTTCTCTTTCCTCTTGGAATCCAAGAGTGGTTCTCAACCATTATGGATAGGTTCAAAGAGAAGTTTTCTATTCATCCACATGACAGTACACATAGATTCGAAGTCTCTCACCATTCAAATTGGTTGTCGCGCGCGAGCAAGGGATCGGTTCGCCATCTCTTGCTTGGTCGAGGGAGGGGGGATTTGGGGAAAGTGAAGGAAAGGGGTGACCCCTACCCCCTTTTTCTGTATTTCAAACTTGGAAAGCAGGGGGTGGAGGTGTCTTGTTTCCAATCACCTACCCTCGCATTCCCAAGAGAACCTGGGGTTAAAATGGGGGTACTCATGCATGTAAATTCAAACCAGCCGTTTGTTGGGTGCGGGGGGGTGGAACACAGTTCACCATCACCCTGAAATCGCCTTAAAAGCGTATTAGAACTGTACGAGGAGCTCGAGATCCGGTACTAACAGGCTCCAAGAACAGCCTCAATTTGCCTTGTCTACCCCCCTTGAAGGACCTCACAACCACAAACGGGGTAGTGCTACACCACCCGACATTTGATAGGGGAAAGGAGGGTAGTCTAAAGCAGATATGTGTGCTTCTGGACCCCGGACGGCAAGCTATGCCCCCCTCAGGACTAATTGGATCTGGCCCACTGGGCCAGCCTTTGTACCAGAAGCATTATTGAGTAATTCAAGATCATGACGTAATGAACTGCAGCCTTCAGCCCCGCCTCAGACCCCCTGGAGGCCACTAATACATAAAGCGTAACAGAGAATCACAGAGCTAAGTGTCCGGAGATTGGCCGGGGGCCTGTGAGAGAATGTTCTGACAAAGGGGCTTTAGAATACG